TAAATATAACGTTACCGTTTTGTTCTGAGTAGTATTTCTTCATTTAGACTGTTCATAGTTTTAAAAGAATCTCCTCATGATGAGATAAATTATTTCCTGCCTTCAGAACCTTAAATGTTTTTTTTTACATGATAATCAATAGAGTGAGTTTTAGCAGCTTTTTCTTGTAGTGCCATAGTTAACATTAAAACTCACTGCGTATTGTAGCCTATAATTATTATACATATTCTCAAGCAACCTCAGCTTTTCATAGAAAAGTATTTACAGTGATATGGCTCCTATTTGTTGGCTACATTTTATATTTTGAAGACTATCTCCTCTTTGAGGAAATCTGCATTTTCTAAAGCCGGTTATGCATGTCAAGTAGACTCTCATCATGTGGAAGTTAAATTCTGTTAGCACTGTGTTTCCAGGTAAGGTAAAGGTTCATTTTAACACCATCAGCCAAGTGAGGAACAGGTAATCTCCTAAAGAGTATGCCACAAGAAAATAAAAATTGAAGGTGCATACAGTACCAAAACATCTAAGGAATGATTACAAATGCCCTCTTCCTGTCCTATAATCACTGTAAATACACACATGACAAGACACATTCCAGTGGCTGCACCAAACATGGATTTGAGCCAGACTGAACATCTTAATTTTAAAAATGACGATTGTGGTTTGTTTGTAAGCTTTGACTGAGTACATACTAAAGGCAGTCTATAAATAATTTGCACTGTTACAGAAATAGCTGGGAATGAACATGCGTGTTTGGGACAAACCGAGGGAACCACGCTTGGTCTGTTTCCCAAACTGAACGGATAAACAAGGATTGCCCCGTCGCAATAATGGCACCTGCACAGAGCTGTCGTTGAGGAACAAAAAAGGTTCTGTTTTCACTTAAGTTTCACAGTGAATATGGCACATCCTCACACATCCTACTGTGATGTTGGCTTGCCTCCACTACACAAGCCTGTCTGTACTTTTCAGTGTGTTTTTGAAGAACCACCATCTCTGTGATGACTCAGCCATTCATCTACCAGCAAGAGAGTAAATTCAAGAATAAAATGCCCGGTTGTCTTGAAGAGCTAACAATGATGAAATCATCAGTGGTTTCAAAAGAACCCCTTCTGCGCTTAACCACATCTGAGAAGCAAATCAGCTGCTGTTTATGTGATAGCCTCCTGGTTTATCATGAGTCCATAAAGCACATATTGTTCTTTATGTGCTGAGATGCTGCATATTTTTGCTGTGATCTACTTTGTACAACTGTCATAACTAATTACTATGTATAGCGAGCTATTCACAGCTTATAGCACAATTACCATGCACTGGAGACACCCTGAAGGTGTGGACAGGAGCATGATCAGGAAGATGAAGTGAAGGCTGGGAGCCACATTCACCATGTGCACCAGCAAATTAGGAGCCAAGCACTGGGGTGTATGTATAATTAGCTTATGTACATCTAACTCAGTCTCTCCATGAAAAAGAGGGGAAAAGTTAAATGTTATGGCAGTGTTCGTGAGCCACTTTATGTCACTTTATGCAACTGTAGACATCAAACAAGACAACATTAAAAAAGAAGAAGAAGAAACAGAAAGAGGAGAGAAGAACTGCATTTTATAGTGGATGAATTTCATGTTTACATGGCACTGCTCTGCAGCAAGCCACCTAGCTAAACTTCTAGTGTGAAGCTGCAGTGTTGTGTATTTTGACACAACCTTGTTAGCAAATATTTCCCAATTAACATTTATGGAACAACTTTGGCATTCATGTGACATCATGTTTCTGTTGACCAGAAACCAATATTTACTTTTCTTCTAGACTCCAGTAATGTCTGAACTAGCTCTTTAGTTGCTATATTCACATGCTAGCTCTTAACATTCTGTCTGATGTTTGATGATGACCATCTTTTTGTAGAAGACAGCAGCCTGCTTTTACTGGAAATTAGGTTGATGAGTTGTGAGGCTGAATCAAAACAGAAAGGCTAAAACAGTGAGCTAAAGTATGCTAACATCCGTGTCAAGTTCATGTAATTTTATTACATTGTTAATATAAAATATATTGGAGCTTGTGCCAGGATCTATTGAGCATTTGAAAAGCTTCATGTTAAGGCTTCATATTGGCTTCACCAATCCACTTTCCACCTTTTTCCCTAAACACCAAAGACACACACTGACTTAACAATATGACTTGAATGTGCAGCATACAGTAAATGCATGCATACAAGAGCTCATAATGTGATCTTCTGTGAGATACAACAAATATGCAACCGAGCTCAGAGCAAAGGTATTTCTGGGGTCATTAAAGTTACTCTCATGTCTTATATGTAGCTGAACATGAATGTTTGTTATTCAGTCAGTTGGCAAAATTATACTCTTCCATCAAATTGTGTGAAAACATTTGGAAATGGTTCATACTGGCAAAGCAAGTGCATGCACTGATTTCTGAGCCAAGTATAAACTTGTGCTTGACAAATCTTGTTCTAGATTTTCCCTGTCTGAACTCAAAACACTGTTACCATAAAACAAAATGTGGGTAAAGTCAGTGCAATGTCTGCAGGAGCACAGAAGTCTGCAAGTTCTGCGAGCCCTGCAGGACTTAATGATTTACAGTATGACAGGCTTTTGCCTTTGTGGAAAAGAACACATGTGGAAGTCTGAGTCCTTAATGGCAGACACTGGGATTGGACCCCTCATTCTGTCACTCACTCATTCACTGTATTAAGACCAGTTGACAGAGCTCTGTGTGAAGCTGAAGGGATGATTTTGTGATGCATTCTGGTAAAAGGTCCAGCAACGTTGTTGGCTTTGGCCCAAACACTGTCCTATTAGCATTCCTCAATGGAAAGTTGACCAATATTATCTCTCCTCACTCAAACAAAGGCCCCGGTGGCCACAAAGGACTTGCTGTGTTGGCCTCTCCTCACCCGGGCCACATCACTTTTGCTGGGGGGGACGCTGTCCTCAGAAGTGCCTAATTATGCTGATGCCAAGAGCTGAGGATGCACCTGTGGACAACAGGTGTTTAAGTCCTTAGCCTGCAAGAAACCTTCTTTTATGGTAAAGGAAACATCTCGGGTCTTGGCAGACATTTATTATATGCTACATCTGAAACATATTTTACTTTAAATCCTAAAGGAGGACATTTTTGTGGAAGCGCTCCTGAAGCATTCCTTCCATTCCACAAACTTCTCTGAAGACACTTAAATAATGCATACAAGCAAGGACATGCATGATCATACATGCAATAGCTTGGTTGGATTGAATTAACAATCTTCCCCTCCTTTCTTGGGAAATGTAAATATATCAGGTGAAGCATCATTCCTTCCTGGAAAGCTGTGTGTTGCCACATCAGGGAAACTGCAGGTGCGTAATCTAAAAACAGAAATATAAAAAAAGTGGAAGGAGTGTCTGTGTGGTGGCTCCAGGTTACGCTGGAGGGAACCAAATCTGCAGAGTAACATTTCTCTGTGGAGGATTAGGACTACTTGAAGGGACATAAGACCCAGAAGGATCAGAGGGCTGTTAAATGTACCTGCCAGAGCCAGCAAAGGAGCAGCGACAGCAGTGCGGAGGCTCTGCCAACATTCTTGGGGATCAACACTGGCTGAAACCTTAGTTCCATTGCAACCAACTACTAGAGTGCATTTTTTTCATTTCCTTTGGTTTTGATACTTAACATTTTGCTGCTAAAACGTACATACTGTACAGCACAGGGCTGTTTATTTTTACAATGGGTTATTGATGATATTGATACCCTTACTTAGGTAAAAGACCCAGATGCTTCTTCCATCAGTGTAAATCAGTCACCACAAAAGCACTATTACAGTTTGCCCATATGACAAGGTGATAGACACCCATCCGTTTTCAACTATGTGGGCTGTAGTATTGTGCCACATTTTGATGAGGCTTTAATAAATACAGTTATAGATATGTATTCTGCTATTTACTAAAGGTTTGGAAATGTTTTACCTTAAGTGATACTATGTCAATTTGTCAGCACTGTTACAAAACACAACATGACCATCTGATGACTTCAACCTTTTAATATCATAAAATACACACCCATTTGAGTGAGGATGATGATCATGAGCCTCGACTATCTGGGGTTAGAGTCCTAATGCCCTACTTGCTACATGAACAGGATTACTGATTTGACTCACTGAAGTACAGATTTGTCAAATTACGAGGACATCTAGTGGTTAAAATACAAAATGAGACATTAACATCTTGATTTTCTCTCTTACAATGTGCAAGTTACATGACTGCAATTACTGCATCTTGTATGTTACGGCCCAGAATGAGATGGAACCAGTGGAACTGTTATTGACCTGTATGATGCTCCCAGCTGCAAAAGACATTAACGTACAGAGAGCTGTCAGGTGCACCAGTGGATGTGATGTGTGCAGGTGCTGCCTAGAGGGCGTGATGCCCGCGTTAGATGCCCAGCACACAATTCAATACCCTTCAGTCATCACTGGGCTTCCAATTTAAAATGTATTGACTAGCATTCAGTAGAGTACAGGCACTCACAGACACTCATGTCCTCCAGCTACGACGAATTCTTGTCTAATCTATTATCACAGCAGCTCTTTGAAAAACATGAACAGTAAAGAGATTGTGTCATAGTGGCCCTCTGATCTCACACTGGACATAATGACCACTCCTGTTTTACAGTTTCTTTGCTCCAGGCTTGCTGTGGTGTTACAGGATGTGTTTGATCTCCAGGTACCTGCTGTAAAGGGGAGCCAACATATTAAAGGTCGAGTAAAAGACGGAGAGACAGTACTGAGGGGAGGAACATGGGAGACTGATTGGGAGGATGATGACATTGTAGGAAAGATGAAGTGCAGACAAACAGCTCAGTGTCGGCCTGTAGCATTTTGTCACACTACATACAACTGAGCTGAAACAGGCACAAGTATTGTTCTGCTTGTTCGCTCAGTAATATTTCAAACTAATTATTCAACTGTGCTCATGTCAGTGGAGGTACCACATTTAAATTTAAATACAATCTTTATTCAAGGTCATAGACATCTCTCAAAGGTATAATCAATAAACAGCAACACAGGCATTTACAATTCAAGGACAAAAGTCACTTTTACAATAACAAGTTGAAGGTGTTTTGCCTGAAGATACGTTCACCAGCTGTTGCCTTTAAATCAGACAACAAACCAAATACTTAGTTAACTATGCTTCTATAGTAATACCTCAAATAATGTCTATGTCAGCGCTGACAATTATAAAATTAGCCTATAAAGAATGTGAAGTTGAAGTCACGCCATGTTGAACTTGTTTGGAGCATCTCGTTCATTATCAGTCACAGATATAATCAATACATTCATTGACAAGTTAATAAAAAAAAATACTATCTCACAGAACTACATACATTCAACTACATCCAAACACCCACTTTAGTGTTCAGTTTGAGCACAGACAGGACATAAACCAATTTATTTGCAGTGTTAATTGCCGACAACTGCTAGCTAGCATTAGCTCCCAAACCGAGAGCTGAGATCAGGGTGCAGTCATTGTCACTCTCATCAGTGGGATCTCTAGGTATGCTATGAGTTAGCTACAGCTAGCTAAGGTTATCCATTCAGAGTTAGCACAGCCAGTAAAGTGAGAGCTAAAGGATTTATGCAACTTTTTAGTAAAAAAAACCCCAAAACAAAACAAGACAAAGCAAAACAAAACAAAAAACCTATGCAAGTAAATAAAGCCCCATCCCAACATTCATCAGGGTGTGATGTACCTTCACATTCTCTATAAAACACTGAGTACACCCTTGTGCAATATCACTAAAACCTTTCAAACATTCTAAAATGTATCATCTTACAATAACTGTGTTACAATATTTTTTAGTTGTAGGGTAAAAAAAAAAAAAAAGGTTCTATCAACCACATATGGGAAAATGCCCATATGAAAAGACGGGCCCCAATGTACAACCTCAGTGCGACAATAGTGAGGACACCTGTGGTTTCCAATTAAGGCTAATTTCTTGAATGAGGTTACAAATACATTTAACACCAGCACTATTTTCTCAATTTTGGCCTGGGCTGTGTCAAATGCCGCACAGCTCCACATGGCCAGGAACCGCCTGAACAGGTAAGAAACCAGACTGTGAGAAGATGGGAGTGGCTACAAGAGCATCAGTAAGCTACTGAACATAAGCTGCACCACAGCTGCCACAGTGGGCAGGAAGTATAGCAAGAGCCAATGTACAGGCGCAGTGGTTGCCCTTGAAGATTCACACAATGCACAATTTACTATTTACCCAGCCTTGCATTGAAAAAAGGCAGCTAAGTGTTTCAGAGTCAGTGGAAGGATTATTTGTGCTGGCTGGTATTTCACTGACTGATCAGACAGCTTGAAGGACGTTGCATGACGTCACACTCTATGGACATCATCCAAGAAGGAAACCATTAATCCCCAAACTGCACAAAACTGTAAGATTAAAGTTTGCCCAAGGGAAGCCTAAAGAACAATGGCAGCACATTCTTTGGGCAGACTGCATTGCAAAGACCACAAAAGAAAAAGAAAAACCAAGATAGAGAAACAAAACCCCTCCAGCAAAGAGAAGCTAAAAAGAATCATCTGTGAAGGATGGCCGAACATCTCTCTACAGATTTGTACAAGACTGGTATCATCCATGCCCAGAAGAATTAAATCTGTCATCAATAATAAAGGCAGGCACACAATAAATAAATAAACAAATAAAACAATGATTGTAATCTCACTAGTGAAGTATATACTAATGATCACTGCAGTTGATTCTTAAATATGAACCTTCCTTAATAATAATACATTTCTTTTTCTCAAATTATTTGGCTAAACACAAGTAGAACTATAATAAAAGGGCAGGATTTGTGATTAACATTTTAGTGATATTGATTGAGGTTGTACTCATTTTGTTACATACCGTATGTACTGTGTCATACTGTCCTTCTGCCTTTAATGGTTTATAATAATTTACCGTAGAGTGCATTGTTAACCAAAGGAGATGGCAGGTGATTTTTCACTAACAACCAACAATACCAGAAGAAAACAAAGGCAAGTGCTGTTCTGATGGACTTAAAGGATTCCTCACTTCTGTTACATAAGGCAGGCTTCTTGAACACCCGAACAGTCCTGTAATGCAGCACACTCTCCAGGCATAGATAGGGTTTTTGCGTGCTTCATCCTCACGAACTCCACAGGATAACGACAAAGCACTACACAAGCAGCTACTGTAAAGATACATCAATATCAAAATGCTGTCGGTGTGAGTTTTGGTGCTAGGTTCTCCGTACTTGCTACAGTGTCTTATCAGTGTTTCTTTTCTACACATCTGTTACAACTTTATGATCCCATCTTATTGTCTCTAGGGGGGGCCCTTCTAAAATTAAACCACCATTTCTCTTCTGGCAACATCCCTTAAAATCTCCCAAAAGACCTGACTGTAAGTTTTTTTGTTTTTTGGTTAATGCTTTTTAACAGGCTATTTGGAACTCAAAAACATTATACAGTACCAAAGTGGTTTGTTTGTTGGCTGTTTTTGAGTAGGACAAAATTAAGTACCCAGTGTTTATAACCTGCCTCATTGTACTTTGTTTATTAATGGTAAACTTGAAGCTACATTTTTAGTAAAGATGCAAATGGTATCTCTCACAGACGTGGTTTGGAATAATCCCATATTTAACTGTGTCCTGTATTAACTGAACAGGACAGACTAAAGGGTTTAATGCTTAAATGAAACCTTTAGCTTGGAAGGTCACACTATTATCAGTCACTGGAGACATATGAAATTTGACTTTTCATTAATATACTTTGTGCCTCCATTTTCTTGTCTGTTTTCAAGCTGTAGACTCCTCTGCATTATGGAGTTTGTGTGACCAGTTTCACTTTTCATGAGCACCTGCAGTCCAGCTCTAACGAGGACGACACAGGTGTTTGATTAACCTTGTTAGTGAGCGCTACGTGGACTCTCACTGGAGGAACAACACAGGTGATAGAATTTCAGCTCGTTAGTCCAAGACCTGATCTCCAAAAGGTAAAAATAAGATGTTTTTGAAAGCCTGTTCATAATTAATTATTCCAGATTTAACTATCTCCAGGAAATAGGCCCTTTAGACTTGCTATGATTAATATAACCCTGCTAGCTTCCTGCTAGCTTACTGCTACTATTTTTACGAAATCTAGGATACTCCATTACAAAGCTAGAATTAGCGCTTTTTTGAGTTGCTTAGTAATGATTACACTGCATAACAACTTCATGTTCCAAAGATGATAATGGTTGAATATCAGGTTCTAGTTAGACTCATGTTTTCTTGCACAGACACAGCTTTAGAGGACTGGTGAGAATTAGTGTTGAATTATGAGGTTGTCAGGTCAATGAGAGCTGCTGCATGCAGACAGATCTCACCTTACCCCCTGAGTAAAATTATGCCACTGCACAGGTTCATTATGCTTTTTCCTTTCTCTTTAAATGAGGAGATTAGACTCCACACTGAGACACAAAATCAAATGTTGGACTGTGATGTGATTCAAAGTGGGGTTAACAAAATCTTTGCAGTGTTTGATGGCTGTGTCCAGACATTTCTGAACCTTTTGTGAGCTCATTAGAAGGAACTAGCTTGGTTGCTCCCAATAAATGCTTTTGAACCTCTACCATGAGGTTATAAGGCCACACATGATGTTACCTCTGAGGACGTCAGGGGTGTATTTATCTCTCTTTAAACTATCGGCATCAGGCTCTCCTGGTGTATTCCGATGCCAATCAAAAATTGAATGGTTCTGAATACTGAAGTTATTTGACTATATTTCTTCTGTTCGAAATGAAACTGAAATAGCAAATAATTATCAGAAAAACTAAATAAAACTAAACTGGACATTTTTTTAGAGCAGCTTCAGATTAGTCACATTACACACCAACGTTTAGCTGCCAGTGATTATTCCTTTCTTTGCATTATGCAACACCCAGACAACTTTATTATCGTTGGTGCAGCTGCAGCAGTGTAAAGATTAAATTCGTACAGCATTACAGTTGCTAACGTATGGATTAGTAGCTAATTAATTGTTGAGTCGATTACATCAATTCAGGCTTAATTAAAAGGAGTACAAAATTTTCTCAGTGGGACACAGGATTGTTCTGCAGTTTCCACTTTTACTTATGATAGATGAATTTCGTTTCTGCCTATGTGCTGGTTGTACAATTTTATATTAGTGTGCCAGCAAAATTTACACTTACATTTCTGCAGAGATGTTGACACACTGGAGACACACAGTAAGAAGGAACTGAGTTAAAAGAACTGGTCTTTCTGCTGTCTACGGCCCCTTCGGTGACCCATTGTGAGCTTTGTGAAGAGCAATCTGAAAAGTCCAATGAACCTGAGCTGCGGCGTGTGCCTTGGGGGAGCGTTAGGCCTCCCTGCTGCTGCTCTGTCTGGCTGGCCTTAAAATATCACATCTCAGAAAGTGCAGTTACCCAAAGCTATGTGTCTTCATGACTTCATTCATGACATAGGCATATTTATTCATACCTGTCTGTTGGTAAACAACTGTATGGTCTGGGAAATCAGCATGAGTTCAAGCTTTTATATCCTAAATAGGCTTTCATGCATTTTATCTCCACAATGTCTGTGAAGAACGTGAAAAGTCTCAACACCTGTTCAACTCCCCTACAACTAATGAGCATATCTGAGGTATAGATTTTGACTTTGACTGAATACTACAGGATATGTAAGCTACTTCCACAAAATAGCTCTGAAATGTTAAATCTATCATATCAAAGATCATACAACAAAGATAACATTACCTCATTACAAAAAATATAGACTAGTAACATTTAGCATCAACTATCCATTAATTCTAAAATATACAGTAGTAACTGAGACAGCATAGAGTTGCACAGTGACAGGAAGTTCATCTCCCAGTTAGCAAACAGTGAGAAAGTCTCACTGCTTTCCTTTTTTTCTTATCATTTTGGTTTCATTACTGAACAAACGATAACAGTGGGGGGAAAAAAATCTGAATAGTGTAAACATCGTACCAGTACAAAAGCACATGTTGCAAGACGTGGTCAGAAAACACCAACACAGCAGCGCTGACACCTTTTACTCCTCCTCCATTGACTTCTCAATCTCCTTTAGCCTGCGGACAAACTCCTGAGCCTCCTTGTCTCCGACACGAGCGTCCAGCATCCTCATGATTGGTTTCTCTGGAGGGGCGAGAGCAAACAGATGAGAGTAGTTCCTACACCTGACACAAACATCTCTAGATCGAATGGCTTTTCCGTGTTGTACCGGAGAGGTAATTGGAAAACCCAGACCTAAACCCTCTCACCTCCCAAAAAACCAATATTATATTTATATTAAAACTTGTACCACTGGGTTTACTGCGGGACAGGTGCAGAATGGCCGGCTGGACGCTCTTGCCGGCTGCTGAGGCGTTTGGTCTCCCTGGCCAGCAGAAGTCGCTGAGAGGAGCCACAGCTTCACCGGCAAAGTCGTTAGTGGAGAGCCAGTCATAGTCCATCACAGTGAAGGTCAAACAAGCAAACCTGTGTCTGTACTGTTCAGGACTGACGTGGCTAGAAGACACAGAAACTTAACAAATCAGATGCAGGGTATGCAGTGGTACCTGAAGAAAATATTTTGATGGGACATGAATAAGGCTATAGAGCATAGAGGAATTTCAGGCTATGCTAGTAAAAAGAAAGGAAAAGATATATTATAGTGTAATTTCTTAACTTGAATGCTGCCTTCAAAATTCAACTCATTCAACATGTGTTACATCTTAAATGTATGTCAGATTTTTAACTGCTTGCATTGCAAAGAATTAGAATGACTGGGGCTTGTCACTTGTTCAGGAGCCAGTGGGGTGGCCAGTAGTTTTAGGATGGGGGCCCTTGGGGGTGCCACTGAGGGTATGCAATATAAACAGGGAGAGGAAGGGAGGGATCTGTTACTCACAAGTAAAAGAGTTCATCAAATACTGGGTGCAGTGTCTTAAGCTTCACTTGTGTACGTTGACTCTTGGCCATAGGGAAAAGGTGGTGAGGACAGAGTTCCACTATGACAAATGGGTCACTCAGACCTGAGGAGGATTAAACCAGGAAACAAAGTGGAAAATCAGTTTTAAAACAACAACAACAACCTGTATTTAATTCTGACAGAAGAGGATTAGGGAATTTGAGTTTTGACTTTTTTTGCAGAATTCTGACTCTGGGGAAAAAAGAATTCCGAGTTTAAAATCAGATTAAAGTCAGAATTCTGAGAACAAGATAAGAACTCAAATATATTTTGTACAGTGGGCCCTAATCCTCTTCCATAAATTCAGACTTCTACACAGTCTTACCATTGGCATCCAGTGCAATGATATCTGCAGCATGCAGAATCTCCACTGTCAGTCTCTGCTCTGGAGCATCGTAGTAGCACTTCACACTGATACGACCAAAGCGAGTATGTTTGAGTGTTTTCTGTAACATTTAATGCATAAAACACATTGAGACTTTTCTCCACCAAAAGCCAAGAAGGAATGAAATTGTCATGTCTGTGACAATAACATATTGAGGATATACCATCTACTGTACATGCTGCATCACTTAACTGAGAAGGAAAGCAACATTTTCAATCAGAGGGAAAACAATCAAATACACGGTATCAAATCAATACTTCTCCATCTACTCTAGGGATTAAATCAGATTATCAGCCTGGTAAATTGAAACACACCTGGTGGGAAATCTTCTCCAGATAGTACTGTTCAATCAGCTCAAAAGAGGAGCATTTGTTTAGCTTGAGTTCCTCCTCCAGGACCTAAAGCAGAATGAAGACAGTCAGAAAGGGAAAGAAAGAAGACATCTTAGGTGGAGGGACATAAGATATCAAGAGTCTTAGTTGATTAAGTGCAAGAAATCCTACCTTGTGGTCTCCACTTTTCATATCCTCCAGGGAGAGACCCTCTCCTTTAGCATGGAAAAACTGCAACAAGGTCTAAAGCATTCAAGTAAAAAAAAGAAAGAAAAAACTAAGCTAGGATTACATTCATCCTTCTAATTTTGATGGAATGAAGCTTATTAGAGGGACATGTTGTTAAAACAAACACCGGGAAACCTGCACACAAACACAATATCTGTCTGCCAAACTCCAATCTCAGCCCACTCGTGTGGCATGCCCTGACTTTTCATGCAAATTTATCACGTCCCCTGCCAGCTGGTTAAATTGGCATTAGAATATACAGCAGCTCCCACATTGTCATTCATTAGGGAGCTCACTTTGGCACTGAACTACTACCTAGTGACTTCATAAATATCTGATATATGCTAATGAATGCACAACAGCAAGCATACACAGCTAATTAAAGGATGATGGTAACAGTAGTGATGATAATCTTTACAGAGTTGACACATGTCTTTTCAAGCTCACAGCTCTTCTTGGTGGGTTCACTGGAAAACTGATTTTTGGGCACTGACCTCCACTGTGTACTGGAAGCGGTTGTAAAACTCCACCTGAACACCTCTGTTTTCTGTGACCGTGTCCAGGATCATCCTCAGGAGCAGCTCCCACATGCTTTGGAGAACTCTGTGCAGGCAGCAGACACAATGAGACACCCACTCGTTTGTGTTTACCAGCTCTTCCAATTACACCCCTGTAGCCTCACCCAGCCAGTGTGTTTTCACAAATAATAGCTGAATAATGATAACTTGTAACACAAAAACAAGGCTACAGGGTGTTATTGTTGTTCCAGAACTAACATTCATACACAATTGCAGCATCTTAATTGCTGAGCCATCGCACTTTTCACCTGCTATTATTAAAGGATGAAACCTCATTTACACAGGAGGAAACACTGCTACCACCACTACTATAAGGGAGGCAGTCAGAAAATTCCACATGTGCAGCATGTGCACCTGGCTTGTGTGTTTATTTAGTTTGTTCTAAGACAATTTTTGTAAATGTGTTCTTTATGTGCAATTACTAAGAATAGTTGATCTGTATTGTTCCTGTTAAACACAAATAAAACATGTGAAGAGAGAGGAGAGAAGAGAAATTACCTAGCCAAGTTCTCCTTTACAAGGTTTTCAGTGATGATGACCATAGTGTCTTGCAAGTACTTCATAAGAGGGGACACAGCCTGGGAGAATGTTACATTAACACATTACACTGCAAATAATGTGACTGAAAACAAGAACGAATGTTACAGGAAACCATTATTAGGCCTTACGTCATCATTGTTGATGGAGTCTGGAGACAGGCTGATGTGCTGGATGTACCTACGCACTTCAGGCAGCATCTGCGTAGACAGTGACAGATTACATACATGTTACAACAGCCAGTGAAGACATTATATGTTCAGGTGTGGCTTAACTGCGTGTGTTCACCTTGTCGGTGAGCAGTGTGATGAGACGTTTGGCTTCTCTCTGCAGGTCCAGGTCCATGTTGAACAGCTGCCCGTTCAGAGCCTTGTAAACCTGCTCCTTCCCCTCCACCCCACAGGACTCTTCCATGGCTCGCTCCACACCTTGCCAGTCCAGGTCGCGCGGCAGATGACCCAGGAAAATGCGCACATGCTCCATGTTGTTTAGGGCGATGCAGAGCTAGCAGAAATCAAGGAGTTGAAGAGGAGAAACAGGGTGGAGGTGGAGAAACAAAGAAGGAAAAGGAGCAGGGCTACAGAGATGTAGATAGAGGGGGTGCGAGTGTCATGACTGACAATGACACAGCTTTTTTTGTGTGTACAAATATCTGATCTGATGCTGAACCCACTGCGTTGCCATGAAAACACTTGTGGATGTTTATTTCCCATGTCAGTGAAAGCTCCCAACACACATCGGTGTTACCTGTACTGTGAAGGTCTTGTGATCTCGGCCCAGCTGGTTCCTCTCAATCTTGTGTGTCATCATCTCTGAGTACCACACGGCCTCACTGCAGAAATTCTGTTAGAGATAAAATCCCATTTATGTTATTATAGGGAAATGATTGGCTTCCATTTAGATTTAGGGCCTAATACTGTTGAAATTCTTCATTACTCTAAGAATATATCTACTCCGAGTTGTGTTTGTATGCGAGTACATGAGTGTGGCAACTCTGGAAGTGGCACTCACGTCTGTCAAGCGTGTGACAAAGATAAAGGCCCCCGCAGAGTCTGGCCAGGCCAGCTGGAGCCAGATCTCGCGTACCTGGCTGAAGCATGATGTCACTTCCACTGCTGAGGAGCTGTGCTTGGCCTTCTGCACACGCTCGAGCTACTCAAAAAACACATGGAACAAAACATGTGCAGTGAGTGGACAAAACACTGTCATGGGGAAAAAAAAATAAATGTACTTAAGCTTCTATAACACATTATTTCAACTCCTTTGTAGAAATCACAAATCAGCTCAGTCCCCATAAAAGCAATATTCTCATGATACCTGGCCCTCATAATACGACTCTGTGCCCATGAAAACCTACCCCAGGCATTTGGAAACACATTAATATCATTATTAGTTTGAGCGTTAGTCAAGAAAAACAATATTTCACTAATGGTGGTTTTCTTCAGGATCTAACTCAGTAACTTTTGAAGATATGTCAAAGCTCTTGACACCTGCCTATGACACTATGGATCAGCAGAATCAGGAATATTACTTGGATCCAGATCATACTTCAACGTGTCGCAGATCTCATGTGAATGTTAGTGTGCAGTTTTTGTCCAAGCATATTGAAATCGGCCCCATCTCACAGCGGTGAAGAATCATTTAAAAGATTCCTGGATCCAGATGATGATCTGGATCGGCACCAAAACTGAACAGACTGATTTGCGAGTTATTATGTATATAAATTATTAAATGCCTAATTACAGACATATAGCCTTTACAATGTGCTGCAACTTTGTTATAAGCCAATCTAAAAATATATTTATGTTTATATATTTGTAAATGTATACAAAAAAAAAATAAAAAAACATATTGAGACATTATAAAGAAAAAAACTTGATTAACTACTCAATAAAATAAAAGTTAATAAGTTCTCATAGAGCACTATTATTTATCAACTTGAATGCATTCCGACTCATACAGTAGCTGTGCAGTATAGTGTCATAAAATGAATTTTATTATTTTCAAGGGCAAAAGTTTCTCACCTTGTCTGTTTCCACTGCTTTACAAATCCTGTCACAGGATCTGTCATGAAGGATCTGCAACCACTTATGAATTGAGGACTTGAACCAGTTGTGAAAGCCTGTCAAGGCCAACATTTTCGCATCCCTGTTAGAGAGAAAAAAACATCTTTACAGTAAATTCAGATCTGAAGAAAAGGCTGAGTCCTCATCTTCTCGCTATAGTAGTTCAAATGTAAATAACCATTCAGATCTTTTTACACCGCCTCGAATAGTCAGTACAATTGAACTGATAACCAACTTGAGAGGAAGAAATTCCCGAAAGCCTTTGAGGATTTTCAAGGACATGAAGAGCTCAAAGATAGTTTCTCCCATTGTCTGAGTCAGTTTGGAGCTCTCCTGCTCCAGAGTGCCGCACACCCGCTCCATCGTTACATTTATATCGTCAGCTACCTGAAGGATGAGAGAATCTGACTGTATTAAAGTCAGCAACAACAACAGAGTATGACTCAGAAAGACTCAGAACTGCTCTTCACATCATTTTCAGTGTCGTACCTGTTTCTCCAGCTGCCTGTACGATATGCTGAAGAAATCGACTTTCACCGCACTGAAATCAAACAAGCAAAAGATGAAAATATAAAACTGAGATGAACATTTCTACATTTCAATTTTTTTTCCTTCTAAGACATGCAGCATTGATATTCACCTGTAAAACAGTTGGTTGTAGATGTTCTGGGCTCTCTGTGCGTCTGCACACACAGCATCCACCACCTGAACCAACTTCTTCAGCTGCTCTTCCAGAGTCTGAATTGTCAGTACACAGTGAGCAACATCCTGGATATCAGTTCTCAAAACACAGTCAGTAAAATATGATGATCTTAATCAGTATAAACTCACCCCGTCCTCTGGTTTAAATCGTGCAATTAAGCTCTCGTACCACTCTGCTGTTCCTTTCTGTTAAAATAATTACAGCCATTAAGGAGAATAAAGAGTTAATTAAAGGTGCCCTGTGGAGTTTACAGTGTTTTTACACTCATTGCTGATGACGTAAACATGGAGTGTTGAAAACATTCACATGAAATTCTGATTTACAACTAATCTGTTACTGGTCTTCTCTACTTTCTTGGTACTTTGCCGCTTCGACACCAACAATTACACAGTACAATCCTCCATAGCTGGCACAAACGTGGATCATGTCACCCCTGTTTCACGTCCTCCTTGTGCCAATGTTGCTTTCATGCAATACAAACTACATGGGGACCTGCTCATCAAGCCATGCATGACTAGTGGTCTAAAACTCCACTTACTGTAAAACAGATGGTTTTTATCCTCATTGTTACCTTGACAGCAGTAGTGATGTCCAAATGCAGCTCATTTCGAAGAGGACACACAGTCTTAAATGCCCGCATGTTTTGCATGTAGCCAATCCCCCTGGCATGCATAGACAGGAAAAAGCCTATTACAATACAAGGCTGTGTTCAGGTAACTGCTGCTTCCCATCATATGCTTCCTAGCATATTGCTCACAGAACTGCATAAGCACAAAAGGTACAATCTTGCTAAATGATTTCCCCTTTAATTGTATGTAGGACCCTGCATTATCTCTGCAGGAGAGGAGAGATGCAACTTTAGGCGTTGGATGAGTCACTGTGTGTGTTTGTGTGCATCCTTGTACTTGTGAGGACTGGCTTGAGTTTTATACCATGGGAGTGAGAACATCCTGACTGGTCCTCCCTTTCTCACACACCTTCAAACGGCTGCTTCAGGAGTAAGACTTGATTTTAGGGTTAAGATAAAAATTTGGTGTTGGCTAGGGAAAGGGCTTAGGACTTAGGCATTTAAGTGTGATGGTCAAAGTAAGTGGCTAAGCAATGCGTGGTTTCAGAGAGTGTACTCATGAAGCTTTACCAGCATATGTGTGTGCTTCTGAGAGGTGTGGGACAGATCAAGATGTTCATCACAAAAATACTAGTAATAATTACAACCATAACATTTATTCATTACTGACAGCAGGTAAGGTCAAAAGGCTCAGGTTAGGCAAGGGAAATGGTTTGATCCACTTCAAGCACTGCCTACAGTGTCAAACTGCCACTAAATTTTGTATAGACTATCCGTGGCCATGGATTTATGGATGGCTGTGCTTTCTGGTTTACACATGTCGATGACAATGTGCTTAGAAAATTAATGCACGGATTCACAGTGAATATTCATATTCCCCAAAGAGTGAATGCTTATGACTCTGGTGATTTCCTTAAGCTAAAAGTTCTACACAAACAAAGTCTATACCTAAAACCATAATCTTCAGTCTGATGAGCACATTCATACTGTGACCGAGTGGTAATCCTTTCCAATCTTCATGACTGCATGGCCCTCATACTTATGTGTATGGCAGGATTTGGTCATTGGTTTTACTGGTGGAATGGAAGCATAACATGATATAGGGAATAATACATGTTACATAAACTAAACATATGCAAGTTGTTGCTTACGACCACAATATGTTGGTGCAAATAACCTCAGTGTTTCAGTTGTTATACAACAATTTGTGGTCAGGAACTTTTTCTGACATGAGTCATGAGTAAGGAGCCCAACACTGCTTCCTCCACAGAGTGTGACTGACTGGTTGTAGTCTCTCTGTGTCTGTTGGGGTGACAGGCTGAGAGTGTTCCTGGTATGGCAGCATGGGCGAGTGCGTGATGTGATGGTGGTGTGACTTTACCTCAGCATGAGCTCGTAGCGTGTAATGGCAGCAGCGCTGGTGCAGGGGAAAACCTGACGCATGTTCTTCATCAGGCACAGGCAGTGCTCTGTGTACAGTCTGAAGCTGTCTGACAGCTGCCTCTCCTGGACACAGGAAGGGCCCTCAGTTATAGCTTCAAGTACACTGGCTGTGAGACATTTTTGGCTGAACCAAAAACCTTGATGAATGTCAGTGAAAAGCTGAACTCATGAGGTGACTGTTTCCAGATGATGAAAGGTTTTTTTGTGCTACTGGGAGGCCAATGGCAGAGAACCTACCAGGTCTCCCCTCACAGCAGGAGGGTCCCACTCTGCATCAATGGTCCTCAGGAGGCGCAGCAGCAGGGAGTAGCACACCCTCTGGGTCCGATGGTGGCTGCTGTAGCACTGCCAGCGGCTGGGTTAAGAAAAGAAACACGCACCTTTTACCTTATGCTAATGCTTTTATAGTTGATTTGATCAATTTTATTTCTCCATTAGTACCCACATAATGGCCTGTTGCAGAGGTGAGAGATCCGTTTGCACAGCATGGTGAGTCAGCACAGTCCACGCTGGAGGACTAACCTGGCCGTTCCAGTTGTAAGGCTCTCTCTGGAATTAGAAGATTACTGGGTCGTTTCAAGTTTGACAAAAGCAAGAAAAATCTGCTTGTTCTCATCCAAAGCTGTTTTACAAAATGACATACAGTCAACAAACAAAGCAAAATATAAATATTACTCTAAACCAGTTAACTACTAATTAAAAGCTAAATGAACACAACTGTAATTACAGAATGCTAAAATTAACAGCGCAAATCAATATGTTCTCTAGGAATCCAGAGTGGAATCAGACCAGAACACAATTTTCACACACGTTCGCCCAGAGTGCAGCTACTCTGACACAAAACAGACTCTGTACATCAGCTGCCTCAGCACCAACTGTAACCCTAACCATTCTCGCTGTGAGGTGACAGTGTTAATCACTTCACCACCGTGCTGCCCCGTCTTCTATCCTCAAATTAATTTTGTTTTTACAGTGGAAATCTCAACTCCAGCTCTCATACACACACAGAATTAATCTCCCTGTAGGCAGAACAAAACCTGATCATTTTAAATCCCTTAGAGGCCTTGCTGTCGGTGATCTGTCCCAACTGAGAGGCCAAGCAAGCAACTTAATCAGCTAAAGATATCCCTAGAGCATTTTCACTAGGCTATCTAAATGAAATAATAGAACTAAAACTTAAATGATTACAAGAACAGACAGTAAACATCTAAAAGGTTAATTAAATAAATGCTGCTGCATGAAAATAAATCAGAAGTAACTTTATTATAAAGATTATTTTGAATAAACGCTCACCTTAACATTAGCGTGCTCATAGTCCACAATCTGACTCAGCAGTTTTTTGTGAATGGAGACATTTGCGTCCTTCTTAGACAAAGTTGTGTCTCTCTGAAGGAAAAATTTACACTGGAGGTTGTAACTTTTCACATCATATACAAGCAAAAAAACAAGTATTTACTGAATCACTGTTTTACTGTGTGTACCTGGCTGGTGAAGAGCTTCAGTATCAGGTGACATTCTCCCTGAACTTTGGACGCACTTGATCGTGGCTCCAGCTTAAACCAGGTGTCATAGCCGGCGACTGGGATCTCCTACAACAAGGAAACCGGCCCGACTAGTGACACTTATGTACATACGTCAAGGAAAATTCTTCCAACTATTGAACTATTGCTTTGAACACTCACATTCAGAGGGATGTTGATACATCCCAGGAAGTCATCGGCGTTCTCCTCCGAGCCTGATGATGCAGATCCATTGGCACGCACCGACTTCGCTATCTGCTTAAAATACCTGACGAGAGAAAGCAGCGTGCAAGGAAAAAGGTAAAACTCCTGGAGTTTGTCCTGCTTGTCGCAGATTGAATTCATGTTTAATTGTAAGGTGAGAGCTATAATCTATCAGTTTACAACATTTTTATTAGCAATGAGCAATGCTTTTACTGGCAGTGACTTGCAATTAGTGTAAAAGCAAATGCTATCCAGCTATTAGTCTGTTTTCTTTCCCCACCACAGGACTATGATCCTTTTCTCCCCTGGCTGTGATTGACATTCGCAGGTTTTCATTAGACATGTCTGTTCTTTATTAGTCTGTTCATGACCTGACTGAACTCACGGTGTTCCCTTGTGCGCACAGTTTTATTGGCACTGGGCTTTCCTATATGTCAGTCTTTGTTTGAGGTGAAAGGACAAAAAACAAATGATCGTGTAAAATTAACAAGCAGGTTGGTGTCTTTTTATTCTTATTCAACAAATGTCAATAACCCAGGCCTCTTCATAATAAAACAAAACCTTTGGCCTAATTCAGATGGAATTGACAGGCTGAATGGTTCATCCACTCACTGACCCAATGACACCTACATTAACTAATTAATTATCAACTTATATAATTCTGCACCAAATAAAAACATGTAAACCAAACAGAACCACTGCAGAAACAGACGTTTAGAAATAACTCAGGAATATGTCATTTCTTCTACCTGCCCATTCCTCGAAGTCCACTGACTTCATTGAGCTTTTTGCAGGCCTCAGCAACAGACACATCATCGTCATGATCCCTGAAGAAAAGAGAATAAATCTGAGGTTATTACAACCTCCTATTTCCTGTGAAAACATATTTCATCATCTTTGTGCAAAGATAAAAGGAACTAAGTCACAATCATCTACAATCAAGACTTAATGTAGTTCAAGAAATGAGCATGAGCCTATTTGACATGTACTGGAGGCAAGAGTCAGCTGTGAACAGACTTATAACCATGAGCAGGAAAACGTTCTGAATAATGACAACCTGAGAGAGTCACTGTTCTGTTAAGCAACAAGGCTCAGAGTTTCACAGGTTGTACAAAATCTCACAGTTTAGAGCTGAGATGTCAAGGTCAAAAGGCAACTTCATCTGTACAGCAGTAATAGTCATAATGGATAAAACTGTTGACTATTACCACAAGTAGAACCATTTTTTTCCCACCACAACTACCACACCTGTTCTGTTTCTAAAAATATGGCAGTTTATTGAAAATTTGGAAAATTGGAGTATATTGGTTGAATGTTCTTTGTTGGATAAGTGTGTGTGTTTTCTGTTTAGAGTATCTCTCTCTCTGTCTACCAACAGTGTCTAAGGAAGGACAGACAATGAACCGGGTCATGGACGCTCACTGATGATGAGGTTGACCTACTGTAGATTAAACTTCTAAATCTCATTCATCCTTTTCAAAAGATTCCATTTTGTTTGAATCTTTGTTAAAATGGGTGACAGTGAGAAACACTGGTCTCTCTTCCAGACAGCCGAACTATGGAAACAAACAGATTCACTGAAATTTAACCTAATCTAATACAATATAATGAACAACATTAGAAAAAACCTTCTCTGTCCCTTGAGCATAGGAATCATTAAAGAATTCACAAATACTAATCTTACCATATGTCAAGATGTAGGAGGTCACCGTGGACATCATCTATTTCACTGTGAATGAGACGGGAAGCTCATTAATCAAATGATCACCTCCTTGAGTAAACAGTGAGAAGAAACCTCAAGGACCTCGATCCTTCAGCTCCTTCCCCAGAGATGACAGCGTCCTGCACTGGCCATGTAACTAACAGCTTTGACGTTTGTGTGAAACAAATGAAACTATGAATTCTTCATGTCACGCACATCACCATGTTCAGCACTGAAGAAAGCTTAAAGCTCTTTACTCACAACACAAAGTGCTCGTCCCACACTGGGTTGAGAGTCTCTGGTTTGACCTCGGTCACCTGGATGCATCGTGCAGGTAACACCTCCTTGGTGCTGGAACGTTTCTCCAACTTCTCCTTCCTCTTTCTGAAGCTAAACTTTCTCTCCTTCTTCTCCTCCATCTCCCGGGGGCTCTGGCCCACAAGGATTCCCAGCATGCAATAGGGGTCGCTGTACCCTGGTAGGCCACAGGTTGACACAGAAAAAAGGTCATTGCATGCACAAAGCTGTTTATACCACAATGATGCTGTTGCGGCAGCAAGAGGAGGGACGCATTGGCAATTATAATCAGCAGTGTAATCAGTGCAACTAGCTGATAGTGGGCTTGTTGGAGAATAATTTCAGCTCACATGCAAAGTGGACACGAGTAGCTGGCTGCGGCTGGGGCAGTGACAAAATGTCACGAGACTGTCACTTTTTAATTCCTCAGCTCATTAATCAGCTAGAAGCTGTTGTTGCTTTATTTTTATGTGGTCAATTTGTGAAAGGTCATTTATTTTCTACATATTAAATATGATGTTAACCGAGGTGGTGAATCATTTGACTCTTCACTGAGTGAGTGCTATCAAAAGCTTTTCAATTCCAGATATATATTCAACATGCTTTCTATTTGAAAAGGGTTCTTTAATAGCTGGGATGTCTCACCATTTGCATCCTTGGCCATTAGATTCTTTGCTTTCACAACAGAAACTCTCAAGGAAAAACTTGCTCTCTGTGAAAAAAAAAAAGCCTGTTCAGTAGTGTACATGTAACAAAGCAAAGTCAAACACTGATTACGTTACAATGCATTTTCTTTAAAGTTGATTCTCTTGTGACTCCAGCAAAGCAAATATCAGCATGCATTGTTCATGATGTAAAAGAAAAATCTATGCTTCATCTTCTATGAGACACGGGGTAGAAAAAGTCAATGAGCCATCAAAGTAAGAATAACTGGAGAGAATATTTTGAATGGCAAAATATTTTCAGTCTGCTCACAATAATTCCAGGAATCTATCAAAAGGGTTCACAGTTCTAAACTGAGATGTGTGAAATGTCCCCAGCAGTCAAGTAAAGGACACAAAATCATACAAAATATGGCTTTTAGGTGTTATAGGTTTTACATTCCAGTACTCGCCAAGGGCATCAGCGCACTTCAGTGGCTCTCCAGACCATGCTTTCATCGTATTACTACAGACTGTACAAACTGCCAGCATGAGAAAATCTCCACTATGTGGCTGCGCAGTAATGTTTCTAAATGGCACTTTGTGACCACTGAGGAGCTTATTTCAATGGCGTGTTTTATTAACTTAAGAAGAAAATGACTGCCATAACAGTGATTTTACATGTTTTACCACATGTACATACACCATATACTGTATGTATAGATCACAATGAACTCTTATGTAAATGATGATGTGTTTTGGGCACCACTCATTTCCAGTCATTTCTGTATCTCTGGGGTGGCTGTGGCTATAGAGCAGGCTATTTTACTTTGCATTTACATGATTTTTGTCTAAATTTCCCCTTAAGTATAGAAATCTTATGAATAAGGATTAAAGGTTTCTAAAGGTTTCTGCAGCAGCATATCTGAAGATTTATTGTTACAGCAATAATAGATATTGTCTCGTACAAAGTGTCTCACCTTGGATTCTTGAACTTTTTGGAGAATGATGTCATGTTCCTCCTCGCCCATATCAAAAACCTTGGAGAGAAGCCCAGATATTAATTAACTTTTTTAACGCAACAATAACCTGAATTATCATCACAAAAAGCACTTGATTTCCTTGTTACAATTCCAACTAATAATCAAAACCATCAAAAATATTATTCCCAAGGGTGATAAAAATCCACTAAAGCACTGAAAATCCTACAATGTCTGGTTCAGAGTCCCTGCCAGCACCTGGCCTGCTGGGAACACATGCTGCACACCTTGAAAAAAAGAGACGCCTACTCAAGACATAAAAGAGGCTACAATCCATAGCATGACATCATCTGAACGAATGTAATATCACAGCTGAAAATCAGTACACAGTGTGACTAGGCTTTGATGTTTAATCAGGTTTGAGCCATGAACATCTGCTCATATTCTTCCAACCTGCTCACAATAAACAAGTTTCTATGAGGCTAGCATGAGTGTTACTGAAAGAGATTTAACGGAGCTGTTTTTCTTATGTGTCTATGATCATTAAGAAGGAAAGACAGACAGACAGATACCTTTAGTAGATAGGCAAACAACTCTTCATCACTTTTCACTTGCTCTGGTGAAGGCACTCCGACCCTGTTGACCACCGTGTACACAGCTTCCTCATAAAGCAGATCCAGCTACATGAAAACACACTCCACTTAATAACAGCCCTCTAAAAATAAAAGCTCATGTTCTTTGGACTTTGTTTTCTGCTCTGCTTCGCACAAAAAGCAGGGAAAAAAACAACACAACCGTGTTCTGTTATTGTGACTTTTAAAATGTAATCCCTGCTGGAATACGATGGAAACAAAAGCCAAGTGACACACCTCTGTCCTGCTGATTCTGTCGGGGATAAAGGCCTGGTCCACATACTCTTGGGGTGGTGGAATTGTGCAGGCCCCCCTTTGGCACTGGGAGGGGACAGAAACAGTTCAGCCAAAACAAAACCGTTCCTCATGACCATGCTGAGTAAGAACTGGAGAGAGCAGAAGCTAAAGGCACAGTACACTAATACTGAGGAACACCGAGTTTGATGATCTTATCCACTCAGTATATTGTGAAAGGAGCTTTTCACTAGTATCTTTGAACTAAACAGACTAAATTACTTGAATTTTAATGTGACTGATTAACATTCCTCAGCTAATAAACTTATTTCATTTAATTAACATTCTCTATTCTCTGGATTTTTTTGATACTGGAACGTCGGCCACTGTTGGGCCTTCGGGGCTTGTCCTCCTGGTGTGTCCCGCGCCGTTGGCACTAGTGAGCCTCGGTCAGCTCCTGTAAACGGCTTTTCAGCCGATTCAACTTTTGAATTGGCGTCATCCCATTGGGCCTCGTCGGTGAGGCAGGGACCACTCTGATTGGCCGTTGAGCTTAGTAAATCAATGCATGAGAAGAGAATGGTTTGGCCCCTTTCAGCCTGGTGCTGTAGTATTGATGATTTCACCCATTTAGCGCAGTTTCTCCTCGTTTTTTGCCTCCACAATGTCCTTTCTTCCACAACCAAAAGACCAAGGGCTGAGAACAGAAGCGTCACTTGCAACTTCTTATCATACTAGAAGCAGCTTTAAACAGCAGCTGTTTTGAATGAGAGGTGTTTTGTTTATAGCTTATATTTCTGCATTCTAGCTCTCCTTCTTTCCCTTTCTGAACGGCAAATACAGATACTACCAACTGCTGGTAGGGGGGAGTCGTTTCTGTCACACAGGCGCAGAATGTGTGTGCTCTCTGTCTGTACGGTGTGTTCAGGTGTCACTTCTTCAAACTCACTGGCTCAGACAAAGCCAACGTGAGGTGACACAAAGGTTGGCCTTCGTCGCTGCTAGTTCTTTCACACTGGTTTGCTGTAAAATTAAGCGTTTCATTTTCCAGTGAATGTCACATTGTCAACTACCAATTTGATATTTCAGAAAACAATCTGGGAGAGAACTCTTAGTACTGATCTAGTATGTTTTATTTGTCAGACAAAGAAGCTGATCCAAGACTGACACACTGATGGACATTAACCACGAGTAGAGACAATTCAGTGTCTCTGTATATAAAATAACTGGCTTTATCCTTTAATGGTTAATTATTCCAGTCAGACTGTGCAAACAAATTTTGGTTCACCAGCAGTGCTGCTTAGAACTATGAACACAACTCATTCCATTAGGAAAACAGCCAAAAATCCAAGTTCAGAAAAGATTGTTATGTTTGGATGTTCCTTATGTTTTGATGAAAGCTTTTCTTTTTGCTTACTTTATACTCTGCTGACACACAGTTATAGTCATCAAGCTCCTTTAGCAAAGATGTTGATAAAGCATCACTGTTTTGTCAGCGGGTGGAGCTGAACATAACCAGCGACAACATCTTGTCACAGCTGAGCTTCTAGGGAGCGACCTACCCTTCCCTTCTGTCTACAGACGTCATACTGGCCACGGCGGTGGGCTGAATGACAGCACTGAGGCCCACTTGCTACATGTATGTGCTTCAAGTGCATAACAGATGGAGAGGTGGAGGTTATGTGGGGGTTACCTCAGCCTGGGCAGCCCGCAACATGTTCTCCTGCTTCTGAAGGATGGCATTCATACGCTCAAAGAACTCCGCGCTCTCCTCGGAAATCCTGCCAAGCAGAGGGAGCAGATTGATGTTTCATCTCTATAAACACAGATGAAATACTTGGAAAATATGTTCATTTACAAGAAAACATGAGGTGAAATGCATGTTGTAAAAGAACAAGCAGAGACACCAGTTCGTCAGTGCAACAACAGAACATTTCTGAATGGGAATTAAAAACACAGTTGGATTCAGTGACATCAGTGGGATCATATTGTATCCTGTTTGCAGACACTATGGAGGAGCATCTGTCAATAAAGATAATTGGTTTCCTTTTTATGTTGAACTACTGAGCTCCATCACCTGTAGTTCAGCTCTTTATTAGCCTACCCATAAAACACTGTCTTATCTCATGCCCTACAAAAAGCAGGTCTGGACCAAAGCTCTCAGCAGCCCAACATGTCTGCACTCTGCATGAGCCATGTTAATCTACTATGATGAGTTGGACTGTGAGCAAAATGTAAATGATGTTTTCTGTTTCCTCCAGGTGTGAGTGAATCCCCGGACTCCTGCCGGCCCCAGTTGTCATGGTGATATAGGCATATTTGAGGAGGGAGTAGCTGACTGAACACCTTGGGATTCCTCTCAAATCCCTCACCGGGCATCATCCTCCAGCCTTATGGAAATTACCGGGGCAGGCAGCGGTTCTGATGTGAGCTGTAACAGAACCGTCAGGATCAGCCACGCTGCCGTCTGCTTATAAGTTCTCACCAGCACCTTCCCTGCTTCCAGCTCCTTTCTTGTCTCTCAGCTATCCCTGTCACATTATGCAGAGGAGCTGTCCACCAGGGCCTTGTCACACTCCTTTATTAGCATCATCGCATCACAGCAGGTGCGTGGCAGCCCAGCCCAGCACCCAGTGGCTCTCGCCATGGTGGGGGAGCGGATGGCAAACCCCTGTGGTATTGATGAAGACTAATGGCAGCCATCCTGGGAGAGTTGGTCAGGTTTCTGCTGCCATCAGTAAAACCTAAAAGGTGCAGGTATTCAGTTAAAACTGCTTTTTCTCTTTTATCGATGCCAGAGTCACTGTAGAATATGTTTCCTTCTAAAAACAACCTCTCTTGAGATACCACATTTTTAGGATGTAATTTTCTAAGTCATTAGTCGTACAGCTGCAACTGATGATTCTTTTATTATTCATTAATCTGTGGATTATTCTGAACTAATCTTTTGCTCCATAGAGCATCCAAAAATAGTACAAAATGCCCACTGCACTTTGTCAGACAAAAAGACCAAAACCCAAAGCAGCTCAGTTTTAAAGCCAGCAAATATTCATATTTGAGAAACCCACACCTGTGACTTTTGGGCATTCCGGCATAAAAAATGGGTTAAATGATTTTTATTTACACAAAGTGATGCCAGTGAACTTTTAATTTTTGGCATCCAAACTACGTTGCAACACAGAAAGGCTTTTACTTTTCAGGTTCACTGGTGTGTTTGTTGATTCTGCTAAAAGAAAAAAAAAAGTTCTTTTCTGAAACCCCTTGTTCAGAGTTTTAAAGCTTGAACCCACAAACTGAATCCACAGTTTGTGAACAACTCCTCAAACAAAGCCTGCTCCACCGACAGAAAGAAGACTGGAAGCTTTGTTTTTTGGAGCTCAGGTTTCCATTTGCACACATAGTACAAATAAGCTTTATTTGATTGTGATACTTGTGTTATGAGACAGTTCTCTCCCAATCCATCTTCAATCATCCAGGGTATTTCTGCATCCAGAAATGTGCCCCATCGTCTGTCAATCAAACAGCTTGAGGATTTATTCAGACAGTCTGGGATCTTTTGTTTCGAGCTTTGTTTATGAGCTGAAATAAAGCCCAAATGATGCAAATCAGTTGAATCTTATGTGATACCTCCCCAAAAAAGAAGATGCTTATATCTTTCAACCTTTCTCTGTCTCTCCCTCGCACGCGCACACACCACCGGAATAACAAACTGATTTGATGTTGCTAGGAAACAGGTCCTTTTTTTTCTACCATCGTTTTATTATAATTTATTTTCTGAATTCATTCAAATGCTTCAATTACGTTTTCCTGTCTGGAGAGTAAATCAGAAGGAAGACATAAATAAAAACATGAACGCGCTGAAGTTCTATCTGAGAGAACGTGTTTAAACATGAGTAACTGGGAGAGTGAAGGTGACAGCAGCCTCTCACTTCCAACTTCAACATAATATTGCAAGGCACACATGGTAATTAATACAGCATACTTCACTGTCGCCGCAGCATGGAAGACTGAGATGTCTCCATGCATTGTAATTAAAAAAAAAAGTAATCTCATTCATCACGGTTGTCAGTGCATAATATGAGTCTGCGGCTGCTATCATAACCGAGGATCTCCACGACAAGAATCCCCCCTCAATACCAAATGCAAAAGCAGCGGAACATTACAGGTGAAAATGATTCAGCATGGAGATTTGATCACAGCAGCTCTGGTGCCTTCTCGCCATTCAGTAAAGAAACGGCAGTCTCCCAGCTAGAACTACTGGCAGACAGAACAGTAGCCCGGTGTGAAATTATTTCCCACTTGGGTTCACTTCACAGCTGTGTTTCACAGTTTTTACTTCCTCACTGTGCAGGTCAGTGACTGACTGAGGATTTGTTCCATTTTTAAAACAAAAGACAAAAGCAACTTTAAGCTCCTGTTTCATGAATATAAGATTAAGATTAAGTGGTGAAAATGGACAAACTCTGACCGGTACAATCCAAAACATTGTGGCTGGATTGTTTTTGTGAACTGCTTCAAGCTCAGAAATAAATTTTGAATCCCAACTTCCTCTGAGCCACAGAGCCTCAGTGTTTTCCCAAACTGTTAGAAACACATAAATGAGTGAGTCACACTGTTGCAGTGGGTGATGCGCTCCAAGTACTGTAGTTTATCTTGAGATAATCCTACACACATACTCATTTAGGCAGCAATTCCCAGGCTGGCGTGTCTGGGGTACAAAAATGACACTTTAGTGGAACTGTGATGGCAGGTCATGATAAACTGAATAATCTTATGGGCTCAAAAAAGTTTGGAACCTCTGCAAACTGTGCATTAAACTGTGGCTAAAAATAGTCCTAAATAAATGCAGTTTATTCCTGTTTGCTAGATCTTACAGTGCCCAGTTGCTTTCAGCGCAAGAACAAACAAGTTTGGAACTCAAGAAAACCCTGAGATATAATAATAATAATAATAATGATAATAAGTGTTTCATTAGATTTATATTAAAAAAATAAGCTGAAAAATATAGAATAGCACCAGGCTTGTCTTTTAAATGTATAATATGTTTGTCATTACGATTGTAATCGTATGTGCATTACAGTTTGATTGTGTAATTCTGCATTAATTATAAACCTTCAGTATAGTGACACTGAGGAGTCATGATCCACACTGAAGTCATGTGTGAAACAAGCAATCAATAACAGCCCAAAATATAAATATAAAATATAAATCTGTGTGTGTTTTAATGCCTGGTCAAACTCATCTCGGCAGTATCATGTGCATTTCCACAGCCTTAGGAACCTGCTCACAGAGGTAAATAAATAAACAAGGCAGCACAGCGACGTGGTGGTCAGCGCCGTCACCTCACAGTAAGAAGGTTCAAGGTTCGAGCCCGGGCTTAACCGGGGCCCTTCTGTGCAGAGTTTGCATGTTCTCCCTTCTGCCTACGTGGTTCTCTCCAGGTACTTCGGCTTCCTCCCATAGTCCAAGGACATACAGCTTAGGTTGTCTGGTGACTCTAAATTGCCTGTAGGAGTGAGTGTGTGTGTGTGGTTGTTTGTCTACATTTCAGCCCTGTGATAGACTGGCGACCTATCCAGGGAGGACCCTGTCTCTCACCCAATGTCAGCTGGGATTGGCTCCAGCACCCCCACGACCCTATTCAGGAATAATAGGTATAGATAGCGGATGGATAAATAGTCATCATAATAATAATTTGCTTAACTGAATTAAAATATTCACAACCAGTGTGCCAGTCTCTGCTCGGACAGCTCGGCTCTAACAGCAAATGTACTAGTGGGTCAACAACTGTGGATGGAGCAGCCCAAATCTACCTGGCTTCATTTGCAAATTCTCAATTAAAGTGAGAGTGCAGGAAGGCCAGCAGCAGCATGAATGGATAACAAAGATCAACAGCCTGCCTCTAATGATGACTGCAGAGGGTATGTGCACGGCTGAGGCTCAGTGGGAAGGCACCAGTGCCAGGGCGCTGGCTTGGGAAATGAGAAAAAGGTGAGACAGCTCAAATCAGTCTCTAATGAAGGACATAAACAGGCTCCTACTGGAGCAGATTTTATATTAAACTGCACTAAATATATAATCAAATATGATAAATTGCCAAAACACATGGGGGCTTCATTAAAATATGCATTCAATAAAAAATGTGCCAAAACGTCCTCTCCCGTTCGAGGCTTTGCCTTTTGAATCCAAATGCAGTGTTCAACACAACCAAATAGAAATCATTACACATCTATAACTTCACATCATCTCTCTGAGCTACACAGGCTGTACTCCTACAAAATACTCACATCACTGAAACAAGTAAATATTTGTAGCTAGAATGTAACTACTGTATGTATCTAGACACAGAAACATTAGAATTTCAATGTTCTGACGTTTGACAGAAATTAGTTATTCACACCAAACTGTTCTGTGAGTAAGTTGTTACCATTCTGTATAGGTTTGTTTTTAGTTTAATCTGTTATTGTCCTTGTACAGTAACTTGGGAAAAAAAGAGAAAGCTTCTCTCCACAAACTATTTCTCTAACTTGGTTCAAAGTTGGTACAAAGCATCAGTCAGTGTTAGAAAAGTTCACAAAAGCACCAATCATGGTAAAACCAAGCAGCTGAAAAATGAAGTCACTGCGAAAGTATCAAAATCTGCAGCTCCTTGAACGGCCACTTGAAGCTGGCTCCAAAATGGAGTCAGTCCCCACAGACTCCCATGTTAGATAACCCAACATGTTTACACCCTGGTACAAAAACTGTTTTGGTCTCTGCAGCTCTTTTCCCCTTCCATGACAACTGTACAGGGGGTGATACTGAGGCTAAGAGTTATGCACAATTAATGTGGTCACTTTGAGTGACAGGCAGGAGGGTCCCATCATAGGGGGCTGGCTGCTAGCTGTCTAATGAGCTCTACTTACCCTCCACCGCTTTGCCCATTTTTGGATTAGCCGTAGCAGGTGGAGTGAAGCACTACCAAATGGTAATGGCCAGTCTTCAAAACTGCTCTACAGAAAACCAGTGGGCGATGTCCCAGTGGGTTTGTCCATCTTTTACATATACAGTCAATGGGTAAAATGATCTGAATAGACCACAGGGTATATCCCAATTCCCTAGTTACATTCACATTTCCCTCACTTGTATGTTTTCCTTGTGTCTTATTCCTGCCCATATAATGCAAGGAAAAACTGCAAGGAGTGAGGAACTGAGGAACCACGTTTGTACAGGCGTGAGACGTCCTTTCCTCCGATTCTTCATGACGCACCCAATCACCAACTGATTTATGATAAAAGGGTGTGTCAGTCCAAAAAAAAGCCTCGGAAGGATGCTCTCATACACCCTCCCTTGTGACTCCTCCAGGCAGCCTCCTCGCTCCTCAGAGCAGGAATAAGAGCTTTAGGATGTCCTTCAAGATGACGGTTGGGCGAGGATCGGTGAATGACAAATAAAGGAACTGGGATTTTTACCCCATGAAATTGTAAATGAAAGAGCACAAAGCACTGAATGTCCCCAAACTTCCACAAAAAAAAACAACCTTCATAATACCCAGAAACCAGCTAGGGTACAGTCACGTCTAAGTGTGCATGTGCGCACATCAGTAACTCACCTGCGAGGCAGAGGTTCGGGACAGTGTGTGAGAGGGCTGCTGGTGGTGGGTGGTGGCTCCCTCCGGCTCCTCAGTGACTGACTCCTCTGCACCTGCCTCAGTACACTACTCTTCAAGTCCAGCAGCGTCGTCATGGTCGTTCACTGCCAGAACGGACACAAAGAACAAACATCAAGACACTTACTGATACCTGATTAGCACAGTGAATGTATAATTCATAAACTCTATTCTAAGAAAGTGAGTCAAACTACACATTTCAGCTAGGAAACCATATTTATATAACCGATTGTTTCTAGAAATACCTTTAGTTCGAGGATTTCTTTTGATTTAATTAGCTCCTTAATCACCCTCTCCCTTTTTTAAACATAATTATATTTTTCCTCAACAGAAAGGTGTGTTCTATTTCTGTCTGAGTCTGACTAATGCCGCAGGGTGAGCAATGGCCACGTTTTATTCTAGTCAGGTCCTAGTCAATCGGCCAATGTTTCTGGGACCACACACAAAATAACTGATCAAACAGAGCTGAGAACAAGAGATGCACAATAACAGTGTCACAAAACGGTTGTACTACTAAAATAAGATGAAAACAGAGCTAAAGAAAAGAGGTGTTCAGAAATGTCTTAATCATGAAGTGTCTGCAATGACAGAAAACTATGCCCAGAATATGCTGCAAAAACTGCTCAGTCAAAGTCAGTTGATATTCAGAGAATATCAAATATTCACTGAAGGTCAACAAAAGAAGAGTCTGTAGGAGGATGCAAACTGCTTTGCTAATTTTAGCTGAAAATTTTACAGAGTAGTAGACTGATAATAAAGAAGGGCACTAGTAGTTTAATCAGAAGTATATTCAGTGATAATCTGTGTAGCTACCTAAACGTGATATCATGATATATAATTAAACTTGTATTAACTTTATAATTTACACTTCCATCCTCTTTGTGCAAGCACTAAATATTTAATCCTCACTGAACACAGAGTGGCCATGTTTCATCTAAACATCTAGTAGCAGAGAAACTGAGATGCTGATGGTTCCTGTTGTGAGCTTGGCTGAACATAAACTTTCTTTCTTAACAAATGATACAATTAAAAACAGTTCCATGGGAACAGTTGGGGATTGAGTCGCTTTGCTCAGCAGATGTTGAAGCTGCCCAAAGGCCATGTGAAGACACACACTTCAGCTGTGATGTCAATCAGGAAACAGCAGAGAGCCTACCCCTCACTCAATTATTGATCATTTCTTTTAAAAGTAAGATGAAAACATGTCATTTTGTATAATTTTAAAACTACAGTTTCTGGATTAGTTTAGCAAAGAAACAGGAAACACATCTGGCTTTTACATGTGTTTCGTATGAATTAAATTAATAAAATATAACCTGTTAATTGGTAAACTTTAGAGTGCCGGTAGGTGGTTGACACAGCCAGGCTTTCTGTTTCCAGTCAAAGCTAATTAGCTGTTAGCTGGCTGCAAATTCATATTTGATTTTTGAATGGTATCCATCTTCTCATCAATGAAAGAGCACCAATCGATGTATGTCCACAAAATTCCACAACTCTCTGCAAAAAAGCAATTATATCAAACTGTCTCACTATTCCTAAACCATAAGTACATCTCTGATGTCCTTCAACCATGCACTGTATCTCATAGGGGTATTTTATTAATGTGATAACACATAATAATTGTTATTTTTAACCACAATAACAAAAAATATTAAGCTAGATGTCAACTGTAAAATGAATTGGAATATAGGCAGAAATGTTATCATAGCTTCTGTAGGGGAAGGTTTACTTCTGTTAACTGGGAAATACAGATTTAAAAAAATAAGCCCATCTGGTGACATTAGAGAGATTGGCACTGGGTTGCTAAGCAATTCACTGAGACCGATCGGGTTTGTCTCAGAGCCACTTGCCATAAAGTCAACTTTCATTTTGGCGTCATGATGTCTAGCTGAATTATATGGCCTCATAACTATATTGTGCACTGTCAGTGCTCTTGACAAAAGAGGAACCAAGGTTAAAAAAAACAAAAAAAAAACAAGTGCTCTGTTCAAAGATGTTTAATAAAACATCAGCTCAGATCTTCCCCAAGTAAACATAGAGAAAAAAGGTAAAGAACATGTAAAGTAACTTTACAATTTCTTTCCATTAGCAAGATCTGATGCTTATCAGCTCACTATATCCTATTGCAGTCTGCAGGCACAGGGATCCTACAAAAACTACTTCATTATGTATTTGCAGTAAATACCCTTTATTGGGAGTTAATCCTGTTGATCTCAACAGAAGGCCGGGTGTCTATAAATACCTGCATTTCAATACTGAAGTTGGTCACTAAACCCTCATGGGAACAAATTACATTTATTTGCTGCCACATTAACATAACATTTCCCGACACTGTGGAAGCAAGACTGTGTGGAGTAAGTTTTATTTCACTACTCATTTCAAGTAAAACAGCATAAAAATGAGCTGATTGCAAGGCTATTATTTGCATAAATGGCAGTAGTTTCTATAGCAAAACACTCAAGGATGCTCACACATCTGCCTGGCAACTAAGGAAGGGAATGAGGCTTATTGTTAACAGTCTCCTTAATGGCATCCAATCACTTTTGTCCTTGCATGTCAGATTTACAGCATTTTAACTGCAATGTCAATACTGGCTCCAACTGCATGATTGAAAGCCTCGAGTGCGCCCCCAACAGTCAGTGTGTTGCTAGAACAGCAGTGAAGGAGGACGAGACAGAGGAACAACAAGGACACAAGAGAAAGGGTTTGATTGATGGAGAAGCTGGGGACAGTCAGACAGACTCAGACAGTCAGACACTTTTCAGCAGCTGACAGCCAGTGTCTGCACATCTATGTGAAAAAGAAGGCAGGAACCACAGGCTGGAAGCTTGTTCTGACTTTTCAACCAGCAAAAGACGCAATAATCACTGTTATTAAACAAATGTAAGGAAAAGACAATTAGCTCAGTGTGCTTGTTGAAAGAGAGTCTGATCAGCCCAGTTTTGGGTGTGGGGTGGGGTGTGACAGTGTTAAAGGTTGTCTGTTTTGAATTGCAGTGCTTACACGAAATGGTTGCAAAAAAAGAAACAGATTTGCCTGTATGACTGCAGTCATTTGCTGCCCCAGGCCAATTGCACAGGGAGAAGAACATGGTTGCCTTTCAAGCTCAGACTAAGCCAGCAACTCAGAGTACAAGCTGCATCATTGGCAGAGCCAAAGGACAGTATAAAATTGATCCAAGAGGCTGACATCTGTTATCCGCTCAGAGTATCCACACTTTACTCTGTTTGACTGAAGTGTCGATACTCATTCTTTCTTTAACAGATATCAGTGTATCATTTCCAATGTGCCCTAGTGAGGAATTGTTGGAATTTACTGAAACACAAACATGAGATGAGGCGAAC